GTGTTCAGCTGGACAGAAACAGTATATAGAATGAGCGGATGACGAGCTGGATCAGTGGGTAGAGAAGGTGAAGCCCGATGGGCAGACGGGCACAGGTCACGAGTTGTGTGTGTTGGTGGTGACCCTGCTGTGTTTTTGTCCAGGGGGCCGCCTGCTGTCCTGGGGCTGGAACGAGCACGGGATGTGTGGCAACGGCACAGAGGTCAACGTCAGCCAGCCCCAGCCAATCCCTGCCCTCCGGGGCGCAGGGCCCCTTCTGATTGGCTGTGGAGCGGGACATTCCATGGCCCTCTGCGAGAGGAGGGGAGCTCCAGCTGGGAGACCCTGAGCGGCCTTGAGGAGAGCCCTAGTGGGCTGTACCACGGAGTGCAGGACACCCCCCCACCACCCCGCCCCCCGTCTCTCCTGGCCAGCGCCCAGCATCCTGGCTGTGCTCAAGGGACCGATACCTCGGAGAGCCGGGATGAACTCTGGGATTTCATCAGCCTTCCACTTCTGCTTGTGCCTGCTGCAAATGTAGGCAACCGGAGCCCCTAATCTCCCCCCGATGATACACGATTGCTGGAGATGTGAGGTTAAATAAATCCCTTGGAAACAAAGACCTGTCCCAAGTCCATGTTTCGCGTCTGAAACGCAGACATAAAGGAACATTGGGGTGCAGACAAGAGGGGGGTCACTCATGCGCCGCCGGTCATCCCAGGATCAGGAGTCCCACGGAGTTCCATCCACAAGTCCCTGAAGCTGCGTCCCGACTCCCTCCGCCCTCTGTGGGACAAGGCCCCGATGGAGACCAGCGGGCTTTGGACTCGTTCATGACTTGAAAGCCGTGGAGGGGAGCCCCTGGCCTCCTGATTAGGGGGTACACCCTGGCCCCGTGCCCTTTCGTGAGGTCAAGACGACCCCATGGCCCGTGTGGCTGTGTGTTGTCCGGGGTGCCTTTGTTGGCGGTGTTGGCTCATTGTCCCGAGCGTTTATGTAGTTTCCGCCATGTTTTTAGAGAACATTTGCTCCTGCTGGGGGGCTCAGCAGCGAGTGGGGGGGAGGGGGGGCTACGAATTCTGCCCTATAGACCCTGGGCCGGTTTTCCGAAGGGGCGCTCCGGTGTTCTCTCGCCTCCCAGAGAGGAGCATGCTGGGAAGGTGCCCCCCCCCCATCCTGCCTAACAACCGGCCTCTCTCCTCGCCCTCCGAGTCAGCAGTGGGTCTCCCAACAGGAGGCACAGCTCCGGTCCCGGACGACCAGGACATTCCTGGTTCTCCTCCCCCCCGAGTCCTTCACTTCCCAGGCGAGCTCGTCACTTGCCAAGCTGGCCGAGCCGAAGCCTCCTTGTTCCGAGGAAGCAGGAGGCTGCAGGGCAGGGGCGCTGGTGAGCTCCGCTCTGTAGAGCGAGTCGCTGGGCCCAGCTGGAGGAAGAACGGGAGGGCCCGTCTCAGCCCGGCCTCGACTCGGGGAGCCCGTGAGCTCTTCACAGGCAGCCGAGCTGACGAGCTTAGCGGCCAGTCCTGCCCATCGCCGGACTCCGCTTGTGTCAACAGCGTCTTGTTTTCTTTAAAGAAGCTCGAGCGTTTTAAGGTCGACGATTCGGCGTCGATTTTGTCCCGGCTGTCCTTCCTGGAATCTGTTCTCACTTTCACCCTGATCTGCTGGTTCGGCAGCCTGAGTCTGAGAGGCAGGAACACACCGGGCAGCCTGGTGAAGAGATCTCAGGAGGTGCCTGGTGTTGATCTTCCTCTCCTCTCCTCCATCTATCAGAGACGTGTTTTGCGTAAAGCAAAATCCATCTGTGACGATCCTTCACACCCCTTGATTAGAAATCTCCACTTACTCCCATCAGAACCCAGATAACGACTCCCCAACTGCAGACTCAACAGACTGAAGTTCTCATTCATACCTGTAGCCATTACTCAACACTCAACACTCCACCTTTGTAAATATGTAGATTGTTACTCCTGTCATTTTGTTTCTTGTGTCTGTCTGTAAAAACAACTTGCTGCTGTAAAACAACTTGCCCTCCCCACGTACCCCCCCAGGGATAGTGACCCTCTCTGTGTGAGGGGGTCCTCAGTGACATCATTGCTGATCAGCAGGACCAGGGTGCGTGACCAGAGCCACGCGGGGCTGTCTCAAGGTGATTCATGGCTCCAGCATGGCCAGTGCGATGTCCTGTTGTGCCTCTTGCGTTGTGGCATTCAAATATCTCCCTCCTCAGCCTCGCAGAGCGGCCTTTTTCTTGCCCCGCGCCCCAGGCGGGCTCGCAGCCTGTGAGTGACAGGCGCAGAAATGGCCCGTGACGGGGCGCGCTGGCTCCCCCTCCGGGGCGGCCCCGCCAGGGCAGCAGCTGTCCGGTCGGATCACCCGCGCTGCCAGTCAGGCTCCACACGCGCGCACGCACACACGCACACGCGCGGCTCCCGGCGCAAACCCGGCCCTCGTCTCAAGGGCGCCCCCTGGCTGGGGGCTGGGTGTGGGTCAGACAGGTAGTGGCCGCTGTGGGTGTCCGGCCTGCCTTCAGGAAGAGGCACAGGGCAGAGGGACAGCTTCCCCAGAGTGAGAGAGTGCAGGGGGAGTGAGAGAGAGAGGACAGTGAGAGTGCAGAGGGAGTGAGAGAGTGCAGGGGGAGTGAGAGAGAGAGGACAGTGAGAGTGCAGAGGGAGTGAGAGAGTGCAGGGGGAGTGAGAGAGTGCAGTGAGAGTGCAGGGGGAGTGAGGGAG